TCTCGTCAGTCAGTTTTCAATTTTCTTATTGTTTAAAGTTATATCTCAGACAAGCTTTGAGACTGTTAATTGTTGCACATTTATCACATCACTGGTGCTATGACAATAAGACATAAATTCCTTCGTTATAGTGCCCACAAAAAAAGGCTCGTTCGTATTCTCAGTGTTATACAGCTGCCGCTCAACTACGACCTAATAACCTCCTCTGGGTATATATACAATAAGTATAGTAGGGCTCATCACAGTCTCGCTTCATCATTTCACACACGCTTCCTTTGCGCACATTACCCTTGAAACTTAATCAGTACATCATTATTGTTAAAAGGCTTACAGAAACAGTCTCATTTCGTTAAACTCTCACACATCATTACACACATTTTTTTTCAGACATTTCAGAGGCAGCATCGAGTTATTACTTTTAGTCTTACAGATAAAACTGCATTCACTACATAATTTTACTGATAGTTACCACACACACATACACACACACATACACACTCGCACACGCACACATTTCATTAAAACTTTAGAGACACCACACATTTTTATTAAAATATTTTACAGGTGGTATCTACGTTTATCAAAAACTTAACTGTAACCAGGCTGGAACGCACCAGGCTCTCCAGTGCGATTATGCGTTTTTGCACTAAACTCACAGATCGCTATCAGCAAGAATGATCCCTACGCTGCAGCCTAACACTTGGGCTCATATTGGCCGTGCCTTGACCTCTTCCGGCATGCAGGAGGAAGGGCATCAGTTGAGATGAAGGTGGTGCATTATAGAGCCGCACGGACATCCAGGTGCACGATTACCGGTTTTTTGCATGAAGTCCGGTCATTTTTTCGGTAAACTCGCCTTTTGAAAAAATGATAAATGCAAATTTCTTGAAAAAAATGCAAATTTCCAGTCCACTAAAAATTGGAAGTATTGCTCAAGAGTTTGTCAAAAAATCCATGTTCCTTTACATATACGATTGCGGTTAAGGTCCGAGCTGCGAGCGATTTTTTTTTTTTGAAAATATGCAAATTTTCAGTTCATTAAAAATTGAAAATATTTCTCGAACGGTCGTTTTTCAAAAAAATCATATTCATTTGCATGTACAACTGCGGTTCAGGTCTGAGCTGCTGACGATTTTTGGGTTGAGGAGCTGCTTGAGGCTGTGGTTGGGGAGCTAGACAGCTGAGTTTAAAATTTTTATTTCGCACGTGCACAGAGAATATCCCTGCAAAGTTTCAGCTTTCTATGTTGCCTGGTCCGCGAAATCGTTTCCCGCCAACATATTTCTTTGGGGGTCCCGTACGCGGGGTCTAGGCGCGTACGGGGAAAGATCTTAAAACGGGAGGATGACACACGGGGTAGAAACATATATCCAAAGTTTCAGTCTCCCAGCTTTCCTGGTTACTGAGATGAAAGGGGGTAACAAAATGCACTCGCTTTCCGAACATGCACACAGACAGCCTCTCAACAATGCGTTTTTGCTGGCTGTAGCAGCGCTATAGCGCTGCACAACAAAAACGCGTAAGAAGCAGTCCACTTCTTAGTTGTATTGTACTTACAATGACTTTGTGGCCGTCATCGCGCCGTTAGATTGGTGTGTTTAATTACTGGAACCGGCCGTTGCACCGAAATCATCGTCAGGGGCTCCCAGTTTTCCACTTGAGCGGAGGAGCACACTCGCGCGCCGCTGCTTTTACTAATTAGCAAAACTGCAGTATTCCAAATCCTCGGGGCAAAGCGAATTAAGTGTGTGGAAAGCGATTTGCTGGTTGCTGAAGTTAAATTGCTGACTTCGGTCGCGGTATCGGAAAAGGCTTTACAAATAAACTTATTCAGATCTAAGCCTTGTCACAAATGCTCCGCAGTGCTGCTGCAGTAGCACGAAAATTCGTTCCTCACAGAGAGTATCCTCTTTTGCTATAGCTGGAGGAAGAGGAACGGCCTTCGATAAGTAATCGGTAGTAAGTGTTACTGAAATTCAGCCACCGCTCTTTTGGACCTTGTTATCTCCTTTCGTTCGCCTGGCAGGATTTTCCAAATCTTCAGCGCTTCCTTCACTACATGCACTTCTCGTCATGACCTCCACGCGTGACTACTCCATTTGCACACGTTCCTCTCGGGGACGGTAGCATCAGTTCTGAGCAGGCAAGTACATTCCCTTCTGGCATCATACTCTAAAATAATCAACAGTATTACTGAAACTGGTGTCGTTCGTGCGTGCAATCTTCGCCCGGACACTCTGATGCATCGCAGCACGTAGAGGAACAGCAAGGTTTCTCAGCTATTCGGAAGACAAATGATAAATTTTGCAACAAGGTATCATTTCTGCGTCTTCATCGGGCGCTGCATTTCTTATGATTTTCGCAAATGAAAAGCAGTCTTCCGCGCCTTCAGGGAAAATTGACGAGGCTCCCCTACAATAAAGCATATTTACGAGAATGAACGTGAAGCTATGGTTATGTCAGAGTCTGAAAGTTCGATGTTAATAAATCTACGCATCCCGCAAGTCGTGTGATAAGTTAAAGATGACTCCAACCTTCGCACACACTCAAAACAGCTAACTTGGAGGAATTAGCCGTGCATGGGCTGCTTTCTTGAGCTGCGAAGCCCTCTTCTCATCCGCTGCAACAAGCCTTGCTAGAGTAGTTCGAGTTATTGTGTAAAATGAGCTGCAAACGGTGAGTGCTAACTTTCTTCACATTCAGCTCTATATACTTATATACTTTTATGAGGATGCGTGGGTAGGCGTTCTGCAGATATGTATTTTTTTTCGAACAAACTGGAAACAGTGTACTTCATCCACTGAAAAATATCACAGTTTTACAAAAACATGGAAAATACAAGTTAGTGAGCGCCTGAACTTCGCAAAGAAAGACAGCAGAATAAATGCAGCAGTGAGCGAGAGGTACTTCAACCGTTCATTTTGAAAGCCCCTAACAAATCAATAAATTTTCTTTAGAGTTTCAAACTGAAAAATTTGCATTAATATCCGGAAAATGCACTAACCGGTCGATTTCAAAAGGGAATACTGAAGGCGCTACGTGTAGCTATCCCAAACTATATTCAAAAAACTTAAAAAAAAAACCCGACCATCAGCTTTTGGGTGTCTTAGTATACAACGTTTTTTGGTCGCAGAAATGAAGACCAGGAACCAGGATGTCACACAAAGTGCAAAGTAGTCAATCCACTCCTCGGACAAAAAAAACTCATTTTATTATTTTAGGTATTTTGTAAGCCACAGCTAGGTCTAATGTGCTGTTATGAGTGATTTGTAGGACTGAAATTTGCCACTTGCTACGCGACACTTTAACTTTGTTCAATCCTTCGCTCTACTATTTTGTAAACTTCTACAGTTTCATTCCCTATTGCTTGCTTGCTCACTGCTTTTATAAAAATATATGCAGTTTCTCTCATTCTGGTTTAGGAGTTGCAACATCAAAGACAAGGTGATGATGCTCAACACACACCAAGTACATAAATGGCTAACGTCTTATCAACTGAAACTATCAGGAAACCGTTGAATTGATTACTCCTTCACAGGAGGAAATGAACATTAATATCGCAGACAGGCTCACCATTAGGTAATGCAGAACTGATCAAACCATCCAGGAAAGCTTCTTGCATATCTAGAGAACCAGATCATGAGTTACTGCTGATCCAGGTATTCAAGTAAAGGAAGTAAATTTGAAAAGAATTTAAAAGGGACTCGCAATTTTAACTTCTCCTGGAAAGACGAGTAATCGCTAATGCGGAGAAAAGCAGTTCAACAAACACCTGACTGCTAGCTTTCACCGCACCTAAACATGATAAAATGCTCACATTTTACGTAACATTCTGAATGAAATGAGTACAACTGAGCTTTGCATTTTCCATCAGGCTTAATTTTCAACGATATGTAGCACAAAACTGCAAATGAATTAAGTGTTCACGGCTCGTTATAGACCAAGCGCATCAGGAATGTATTCAGCGGAGACCACATATAGTTGTTGAGATGCTTCCCATGTATCAGAGTGCAATCCAAGAAAACGAGTCGGAAATTTGGAAAGGAAAGCCAAGTGTTTCCTCCTACTTTTTCACTTTTAAATAAGAAAAGTTAAACACAGGAACCTGGACTAAAAAAGCGGAAAATGGGAAAAGAGGGCTGTTTAGTTGAAAAGATGACAAGTTTTAGTAGTGGTAAATCTAGAGTTACGGCAGGGAGCGATACAATCAAAGATTCAGTAATAAATGATGGGAAAACATGTATTTCCCGTGATGCCTGATAATGCACATTCATGGTTCTCATCCAGCCAAGTTCGCAAAACTATCCCTGATTTCCATTCAGTGAACTGAGGAAGAGTGTTGCAACTTTCAGGCAGAGCGAATTTTCAAAAGAATGCTCTTCCCAGAATTGGTCTTAAAATAGCACGCCACGCAACCATTGTAACCGAGCACCCCTAGGTCGCCGATTAACAGTATTATTGCTGTTATCGCCACTATTATTGTTATTACTATAATCACCACTATTATTGTTATTACTATAATAACGCCAAAACTACCCGAACAGTTAATGCGCAAATTCGGTGTTACTGAAATGCAGTCACACGTCGGAGAGCAATTGTGCCAGGATTTAGGAACTGAACTGCATGTTTTCAGTTAGTTCCAATCGCCAGCACAAAACAATCGGAATTATTTTCCTAAAAACCGGATTGTAGACATTTACATATAATACTGCCAAATCAAACACCGATTTGGATGAAGTGAGCATTGAAGGCGCTTTCTGGATCACATCAATACACACACATACATACATACATACATACATACATACATACAAACGAATACGCACGCATGCACGCACGCACGCATGCACGCACGCACGCAGAAACAAACAGACACATACATTCACGCAAGAACAAAAAAACAGCAAGTGACAAGGCAAATATATCACAATTAAGCAGCAGCAGCAGTAGTAGCAATAGACATATGTACAAAACGGAACAAAGCAGCGCAACAGATGCTGTCAGGAACGGATGAATGGAATATATCGCATCAATGTTGTCTTACGATTGTGCTGAGAGTCACTGGTTTCCGGTGCTTGTAGGATACCCAGCTGCGCTTGCGTCAACAGACACAGTGCTGACGCTACTGCTAAACCGGATGTACCATGGGGTGTGAACTGTCGACCACCGGTCGGTAAACGTACAGCCAGTGTAAATATTCCGGATCGGTAGTTACTGCACGGTTCAACCGATATCGGAGTAGCCATCTCAAAACAAAACAATTATCCACATGTAAAAATGACAATAATTAGGTGGCACAACAATACCAAGTCTCCTCAGTGCAACCACCGATTACCGCCCACGAAATATAAGGGCGAAACACGGCTAGAGTCAAAATGTTCAAGTTTTTGTTTTTCAAAGAATTTCCACCGCAAAAGGAGGATGCCAACTCTGCAACAAGCTAATATGAATTTAAACTTAGAATTTCGAAAATTCAAAATGTAAATTTATCGTAAAAAGAAATTTGTGAAATGCTGAGTGTTCGAAAATTTGCACTTATGTGCAAGGAAAGATGATACCACAGATGGGCATGGACACGAAAATTTCGGAAATATCAAATTATGTAACACTTACCAAATTGGCCTGAGGAGATGTGAGTTCGAGCCTCACGGAAGCGAATGGGCGAGAAGCCATTTGCTCAATTTCATCGTAGCGCCTCTGATTTCTTCGGAATACTTCAATGCGTAATTTGATCATCCACAATAAACCCGCAACAACAAGGAGAACAACAAAACACCTGCAACTCATATTTCGCTGAAGCAAAAAAAAAAATCGACAAGTCAATTAGTGTTATATGTGCTGCAGTAAAATAGCACTTTAAAAAAACTAGAAGTCCTGCACTGCCATAATTCGTAATATCTGAAGAGGATGGAAAAACAATGCTCGGTAGCATGAACAGTGCTAACAAAAGTCCATTTTTTTGGTAAAAAATTTAAGCTGGCATGAAGTCAATATGTCCGGCATGAACTATTAACTCATTTGACACTCTGATTAACTAACCAATTTAAGCGATGAGAATTCAAGCAGCAATAATTGCCTTCACTATGAAGCAAGCAGCACTGTACAGCACTACATTATATTATTATATCAATAACTGACGTAACTATAAATGAAAACTTACGCTGCAAAAATCACAAAAAATAGGACCCAATTTATCGGAGGTGACTGCGAGAACGAAATCTGAATTTTGATTGGAGTGGAAAAGTTGTAAACCTTAACCTGAAACACAAAATTGTCTGTGTTATACGCCAATTTGCTTAGAATACTTTTGAATTCTCTGTATAAAAGATGCGACCCAAACTTTAACCAAATAGTAGTATATTTATAATCGGACCGGTTGTAATTCATAGCCTACTTTTTCAGTCATGCAGTTGGCAACTTTTCCAGTTGCTTTAGCTGATGCCGCATCGCCTGATGATAAAAATGCTGGAGATCCTAATATCTGTTTCGCTTTCTGAAGAGATTACTAGCACAAAGCTTTTCCCCACTGAAGCATTTGCCAAGGAATTAGCTGTTTAGAGGTGCCAACGGTGCACATTGCATTAATACCTCATCAAAAATCGCTGCCAATCCTAACCTACGGACCAATAGGAAACAATATCATTATACACACAGAGATTTGTCAGCTGTTAAAGTCATCCACGTAGTATCGATGAGCAACTCCCAATGTCACTAAGTCGCAGAAATGCATCCAAATATATATCCCAAATCATCCTCTTCTTCTGTCCACTTACATGCAGTTTTTGCCCACCTTTATTATGTAGATGCGTCACTCGTTCGAAGATAAGTACATGACGCTTAACAGTGGCCGACAGAACAAAAACGGCAACTTCTCTAACGCTGCATTCACAATCACAGCGATACAGTGTATGCCCCTTAACTGATGGTGCCTCATTTTTTGCACTGTAAGGAAGGCGCAAGTCCAAATTGTATGCGCGGGGATAAAACAAGGTGCAGTTCAGAGCCCAAATTACAAGCAACTTGTTCCAAACTATCCGTCGCTAATACGCTTAGCACGCGCACGACGCATCCTTTCATAAAGTGTGAAGTGAAAACAACATCTTGGACATGAAAAATTAACGACATCGGCCATGCTGCAGAATGAATTCGCATTGCATCGTAGTCCATCGACAAGCATTCCGCCCTGACAACAATTCGCCAAAAAAGACTCCACTGACTTGACCAGACAAAATACTGCACCAATTCATGAAGAAAATCATTCAGGCACAAACCAAAAACGTTGTATTGGCATCAGTTCCGAAAACGAATCCCGGCTCAGCATTAGCACTGTAGGTTCGTCGAATTCCATTCTCGTCGCAGACGGTTCTTGTCATCAGCAATTTATTCGTGCCAGGATGTCCCTCGAAAACTGATGAATTAATACTCATCGAAACCAGTGCCTTCTCCAATTTTGGCGATTCGCATACTATTGTGAACTGAACATCAGTATCTTTCTGCAATATAATTATTTGGGGACATAAAATGTAACTATTCTTGCAGCAAAAGTGAGAAAAAACGCGTTGAATAAGCAAGAGCTGTCCAAAGTACAGAGGTAACTAAATTGTAACACAAAAAAATCCAAACATGAAACGCGCAGCTTCCCCTTCTTGCAATTTTATGTTTTTATGCTCAATTTTACGCTCCTCCCTACATTCAGATGCTTCTAACAGATTAAAAAATTCAAATAAAGCGAAAGGCTCGACTTTGAATCCCAGGTTCGGCTTCGAATTTTAGCTTTTATTTTTTTAATTAAAGCCCCAAAACTAAAATCCGAAGTTGATGAGAGTTCCCGATTTTCTATTTTTTTATAAAACAAATGTTTTTGAAGCTTTGAATTCTTCCTCCCTTTTGTTATTTTTTGGATCCTGTGCAAAAATATTTATGTAAACAGCAATAATATATGTGAAGAGAACCTTGTGTGGTGTGCTGAAGAAATTGATTTGATTGACATATTTATCTTTTGGATCATCCTGATCAAGTTTGAAGGTAAAAATAAAATCCACCGTCAGCTCATCTGAAAGGACTCAAAGCAACAGCGGAGGAAGACGAAACCGACCGAGCTTAAATTTTGATCCATATCATATATGTTAGTAAAAAAATAATGTTAGTAAAAAATGAGATCTTTTTTTATGCTTTTCGTGTTGCAACAGTTGCACAAAACGCATACTGTCAAGACCCTGTCTAAGCGTGTGTTTGTGTGTATGTGTTCCTAGCGCATTTTACTCGGGGGTTTCAATTCGGGAACCAGAGAAACTAGAAAGCTGAATTTTTAAAGGGAGACTCCCCTACCTGCCTGTGACTTCGCAAATTCAAATTCAGCATCCAAGTGCGCCTAGGCTTCATGTACGGTCAGGATAAAGTTTTGGGGCCTAAATTAATAACTCAGGAAACACAAGAGATAGGAAGCCAAAAATTTAGAGGAATTTTCCTTACCCATGTGTGACCTCGTAAAGTTAAATCCGGCCTTCAACTGCGTCTAGGAATCGCACATGGACACGTGTGCGATTCCTAGGCGCATTTAAAGGTTGTCCTCCCACCATTCCAATATCTGCTAATGAATTAATTGGTGCCATATGCTTAACAGTCCAGTTGTAGTGAATAGTGGAAAACTTACAGTAGCATAACTGATTATTTTCAGGATCACCGTAATACTTCGGCTCGCACTTGCTACAGTTTTTGCCAGTCACACCTTTTGTAGTACAATAGCAGTCACCAGTTTCCCTATTACATGCTGTCGCTTGCCCATTACAGAAACACTCTAAAAAAATTATTTTAGTAAACCACTGACTTATGGTACTGGCAAAGTTGAAGCAATTCGCTCAATTTTCATCACGAAATGGAATAGTTTTTTGAGCATGGCAAAATTAATTGGATGCCCACATATCCAACACAGAAGTGCAGAAACTAAACAGACTGAAAAGACAATTATTCGTAAAAAAGAAGTGAACGCAGTTTTATTAGAGAACCATTTTGTCCGAGAAAAATCAAATTTTGATGGTTTACATGCTCCATGCAGCTTAAATACTTAACCACAGCAAAAATGTTCCAGCTCACCTTGTCATATTTAACCAATAGAAGAAAGAATGAAATTAGGAAACCCGAGGGGAATAATAACTGTGTCAGGTAATTTTTAACAAGATAATTAGAAGCAACAATTTTTTGTTCGGGAATCGTCAGTACTTTCACTAATTATAGGCCCTTTCCGGATGCTGCTGGTAAGAGAGACATGCAAATTCACTCCGGCCTGAACTTATCACGCCTATATATACAAGCAATGGCGAGTTGTTGTGATTTTTATTTTCAGTAAGCTAGCAGAGAGAGGCGGAAGTACCGGTAATCGGAACAGGATTAGCTTCGAAATTCCTGAACAAAGTCTGGCCTCATCGGCAAATATGCAAATGTGAAACGCTTTACTGAGACGCCACTACAGGTCGCCAACAAAAGACAACGTTGAAATCTACACTTATACTAGAGCTCAAAAGAAAGCTAACAGCAAGCACTGGAAACCAAAATTCGAGTGTGGAATAGCATTCAGAATAAGTAAGATATTTCATCATTCAAATTAATGTTTTGCATCCGGTATCAATCTGCTTACAGAGCAATGTCAACTAAAAAAACTGAAATTTTGCCCTCCAAACAAAAGCCTACAGTCTTTTAGCTCCTCATGGAATCAATTAAAACTAATTTCGAGTCACTGCAAAAAGTGTGAGTTGTAAGATTATCCAGGAAAATAAAACTCCCACTGTTTTTATCACGTACAGATCCAACCACGCACTAGCAGATTCACAAATAGTTGCGAAAAATAACAAAGTGCAACAAGCTATTTGTGAATTTCAGTCAAAGCACTGGCATATGTTTGCTACTTTTCTTCCATTATTAATACGGTTTTTTGAATTTACTCAGTTTTTCACCTTCTGTAAAAAAAAAACCTTTCGGTTTTATTGGCTGGCGGGAATTTGGAATATACAAAAATCAAACCTTCACATTTCCCACCGTTTCGAGGATCACCATAGAAGCCATCAGCACAGTACTGACAGTGTTCACCGGTTGTGTTATGTTCACAGTGTGTACAGTTCTGCTCTTCGATGTTCCATTCAAGCGAGCGTCGTCTCACCGTGCAGTTGCTATGCCCATTGCACTGGCAAGCTGGAAAAGCAGTCTCAGTTTGCGGTTCTCTCCTTCATTTCTTCCGCTTAATAAAACTTCGACTCTTTCGTTAGCATCCGTAAGAAATTCGTCAAAAACAACTAATTCTCAAAAATGCATCATACTCTTTACTACTCAAATCTAACAATCGATACAACTCCACAGAACAACTGCATTTACGCATACAAATGCCTATGCCCGACTACCCCAAAAAAATCAAAATCAACTAAATGTCGAGTGTCTTGACTATGTGAGTAATGTGATACCATTCAAGGCTGTGGTGGGAAGTACAATTTACTATGAAGAGGAAGATGACAGAGTCACTATACACCGGTGTGTGACAGCAATAAATATCATTCGACAACACCTGTAGGTGGTGTATGCAGGCAGCATATAAGAAAGACAAAAGATGGCTCAACTCATAGGCGGGTCCAGCCTTTCTTAGCGGCGCAGGCACCAGTGCTGCAAAAGTCCGGGTCTAAAGCTAAAAGTAAACTAAAGAGTAAACTAACTCTGAGCAGACTGCAGCATCCAGGTTGACCCCAGAAGTGCAGATGGCAGGATTTCAGGAGAAAGGATCACTCCCCGGCGTTTAGAAGAAGCGATGACTACCTCTTCTTCTCTTATCCCCTGAAGATTAAGCCACAACTGTTAGAGTTGAAAGAAACAGCTGTAAAAAATATGATTCTGAAAGAAACTGTTTTTAAGCGCACCTGAGCAGTTTGTAAAGTACCACTTTGACTTGCCGTCCTTGGGACATGCCGTCTGGTTAGTCGGAGATTCCAGACTACCCGGTAAACACCGTCCCAAACCTGTGCCTGAACCATCATCGCACCAACCACATTTCGGCCCCACACGATGACATTCCGCACATGTCTTCTGTTTCGAACAATCCGATGGATCTGGAAAATGTTAGCAGTTACCACTATTCGTTTGCCGACAGGTGATTGTAAGCACAGGATGAAGTGCACAGCTTGGATTTAAATTAAACGATGAAACGCCAATTTCGAGCCCCTCTCTCCCCCGCCTTCTTTCTCCCTGCCTTGAAATAGATCAAACAGTTGGTATTTTTTAATGCTGGCTATGCTCTGGAAATTTGACAGAGATCTGGACAGGACTTAAAACGACAGAGCTTAAACGCGGAAGGGTGAAAGCTGTTTTTAGATCTTTAATCTCAGCACACGCAAGAAATACGCATATGAAGTTTCAGCATATTAATGTGCACATATGTTAATATATAATATGCTAATATTTTAGCTGTTCAGAAATGCCTTTGCCTCTAGCAGTAAAATTTAGAGGGGGATTTTAGTTTTTATGCGTTTTGTGCTGCAACAGTCGCTCCTCTCCGTGTATGCATGTATGCGTTTATGTATGAATGTATGTGCGTGTGTGTGCATGTGGGTGTGTCCGACTGCGTTTTGCCACGTTTGTAACTTAAGCGTCACTAAAATAAGCTGAAATTTTAAAGGGATTCTTGTACTCGCGTGCGACCCCGCAAATTCAAATTCAACTTTCACGTATTCCTACGTCTCACTTATGGCCACGTGAAATTTTGTAACGGAAAAATTACTAACTCGGGAATCAAAAGGGCTAAAGAGCTAAAATTTCAGGAGAACCCTGCAAATTCAAATTCAGCTTTTAGATACGCCCCAGCATTACGTATGATGCGTGAAAATCTTGGTAAGAAAATCGCTAACTCGGGAATTTCAGCGCGAAAGTCACTACCACGTCTGAAATTATGGGGGGGATGTGCCCCGTTCACGTGCGACCCAACGGTTTCAAATTCAGCGTTCATGTATGCCTATGTTTCACGGACTCTAGCATGAAACTTTTGCCGTGAAATTTCGCAGTCTTGAAACCAGACAACACATTGACTATTTTTGGACACAACGGCTTCAGTGAAAATTCTTAAAAGCAAATGTCCGCTGTGCGAAATGCATGATCACTCTGGCCATCCTGGTGTGTACCGCTATTTTGTTACTTTCCCTGTAGTATTAATTCTTTTCAATACATGTGAAATATATCAAATTTGTGCTAAAAAGCAAAAAAAAAAGTCACCCATCTGGCAAGCGTGCTGATTACTAATTGTGTTCGTAGCAGTAATCCATGACTGGCATTGCCCGTATGGGAAGCTGATCATATAGGCATCC